GGGCTGGGCTGCTCTTGGCATTGCAGTCGAGGGCAGGGGGGGAGTGACCCACGCGAGGAGCAAGTTGTTCAACAATTAAAAACCCCTTAAACCGAGGGCAACTTTGCCCAAAACGCCGATGGAAAGGTGCACCCAAAGTAAATTTGTAGCTGTTCTTGAACCATTTGGAGTATCAGCTTAGTTTGTCTCTTTTCGAAATATTCAAAATTTTATCATTATGAATATTTCTCCCATACAGTAAGAATCTGTCTAAGTGCTCCTGTCACTGAACTATGGATGTTTCAAAGAAGAAAAAAAAAGTGAATCTTATGTTCATCGAATTTCTTTTGACAAAATCTGCCTTGAAAATGGATTTAGAATGTTGATTAGGACTTGAAAACACTACAGGATCAAAGCTCCCCAAGTTCCAGTTCAAATTTGACAATTGTAAAATGTTGGGCACCATTCAAATCTTCAGAAACTCAGCTTTTACAAGGTGTATAACATGTTCACACATGTACTCAGCTGACGACGTGCATCGGTGATTTGTTTTGACAGATGATGGAGGGCCCTTCGGCGGGCCCTCCTAACTTTAAGGGTTTAAAAAGTGGGGAGCTGTAAAGGGATTGACTTCCAGTTGAAGGTGTTGGTGTTTGAAAAGAGGTTTGTTGGGCCATTTCCAGTGTGCGTCCATGAGTGGTGAGTTGCCATTTAATGTGGAGTGTTCATTGATTGATTAAATTGAATTCCTACTGCTACTACCGATGGACGTGCTCTCACCTGTTTTCGAAAGCCGAGCCATGACTGGTTATGACCTGAGCCCTGAGCAACTGTGACATTTTCAGTCGACAGAAAAGCGAAATGAGCACACCCCCAGGTGGCGAAAAACGGGTGGATTTTGCTGCGTCACTCATCTTCCGCAAACATAATAAACTAGAAGGGCTGCCTGGAGCTTATGAAAGAAAATTTGGGGGTTGACTTCCCCTTTAACCAAAGTACTTAACCATGAAACTGAAAATAGGTGTGTTCAATTTTAATTTGTCAAATGGTTGCGCTAAATAAAATGATCCGGATCCTGGTAGATTACTTAAAATAAATGTATCTGAAGTCTGAGAATCAAAGGAAGGAATCAAACTTTTATCTCAAGGCACCACTGTAATAAATTTCATAGAAATAATCAAATCGCCTAACTCTCCATGTTGGTCGTGTGACGCAGCAGGAGCGTGTTTGTTCTCAACGCCGCAGGGGAAAATTTTCTCCCGTTTAATAGTATCAGTTCCTTAAAACAATAATTAAAAAAAAAAGGTTTGGTCTTAAAAGTGGCATGAATCGCTAAAGCGCAAAATCATTCTTCCATTTATTAGTGGTTTTCATAACAAGCTGAGGATCCAGCTCAGACAATGTGGCGACTCAGGGGAGGAAGTGTGTGCGTGTGTGCGCCTGCATGCGTGTAAGTGGTCAAAGCCATGGATGTTAGCGGGATTGTTTTGCCTACAGCGTGTCGACAGTACACCGACATTGTGAATAGCTTTCAATCCTGTCTGCAGGCATAACAAAACATCTGAGACATCCATGCCGGTGTTGAGGTAATGTGAGCGAAGCAGAAAAAAGGGGCTCTTGATAACCTCTCCCTCCGCTGTTTATCCCACAATCCCCCGCTGTGACCAGGCAGCGTATCCTCGGGGAGAGCACAGTGGCAACGGCGAAGCAGGTAATTCAAGCCAGGCAGTATCCCCGTAGAACTGACCCCGATTCAAAGCCCACACTCCCACCTGGTTCCATCCTCTCCAGGAAGACACGCTTGCTTATTAAAGTACACCGGCGGCGCGCCATGAAGCAGGAAATGCTGTGCCGGGCTAGACAGGAGATGACGGAGAATTTGCGTGTAGCCGAGGAATGGCTATTATTTACAAGTGAATTTTCTGTGGAGAAGCCACCCTTAATTTGCCACTTAATAATTGACTTTCACGAGCATGTCCGGAGATCCCCTGAGAGGCATTTGTGGTTTATTCGCAAGATGTCTCTGCTGTTTTGGACTGCAAATGAGCCTTTCAGAAAGCCACCTGACAGTGCGGCCGGCCACATCTTGCAACGAGCATGCGTTGGGTTTCTTTGCCCTCCTCTCACCCGATGTCTTCCTCCTTCTGTCTGCCAGTAACAACCTTCAACTAACCCTTAAAATGCGTGAATAATTGAAATCCCATTTTCGTATCAAGGGAGGAGCCAAGCCAGGCAATTATCTTTTATCTGTGTACTTTGCTGTCGGAGCAAATCATAAGAAAGTCCTCTCCCGAGGTAGAGATGAGGCACATGCGGTGTGGAAAAGCCACGGGCGAACGAGGAAGGCTCAAAGTGGGAAGAGAGACAACAACGCAGGCGGTTTGGTTGTCTATGATGATTTCTAGAAGATTCTAATGAATAGAATGAATAATTCAGCCCGGGCGAGAAAGTTAGTTACAGTATGTGCTAGTTTCGAGGAAGATGTTGTGGGTGTTATTTGCCAGTGTACTGGCAGATCACCCCAAATGGAGCGTCACCTATTAGGTCCACGTTGTGCATTTGTCACGGTGTTGTACGAGCTTGAAAAGATGGCATGTAGCAGACAGAGGTACATCTCCGGGAGGGAAAGTGTAAAAAGTGCAAGATGAGGAAAATGTGAGAAAGAAATTCCCTGCGGTCCTCATTAAAATTCAGCAGTGCGGCAGCACCCTGCTCGTCTGCGCTCCTTTCCCTTCCCTCTCTCCTTTTCACCGTCTGTCTCTTCCATAAACCATCGCCGTCTTGGATCGGTGGACTGGTCATGATCATAAAGGTTGTCGCTCCCTTGATTGACGAGTCAAGAAGAGTTGATGCTATATGAGTAACCAGATGAAAATGATGAGAAGGAATGCATTTGGAGGTGAGGGGTGAGTATTTTTGGGGAAAAAAAATGGAGGAAGGAACTTCATGACGTAAAATTGGTCCAATCTGAAGCGATGCCTGGAGTTTCTTTACGTTATTAGGAAGAGAAGTACCATCTTTGAACCGCGAACAAATGTTTGCCTTACATCTACCTGCTTCACTGCAAATCTTCTCGTGAGACGCACGGAAATAAGCAGAATTCGGTGATGTTAAAAATAAAGAACTGGCTGGATTAAAAGACTTGATTAAACTCAATCAACTTTTAATTTGATTTGATCAAACACAGCTATCTGATGATCTCCAAAAAACACCGTCCATTTAATTGGCTTCTGTCGAGCCAAAATGCCAACGTCTGAGCAGGGTGGAGTGAGAAGGCCAATAAATAGGTGGGGCCAGGAACTTAAAGCTGGACAATATGTCATCTTATTATCACACCACAGAGTTACATCATTACTAGCCAGTGTTTAAAGTTGGGGGACAGTGTTAAAAACAGAATTGCGGGGTTGCGTTAACATCACTCGGTAATAAAATAGCCTGCCGGGTCACATTGCGAAAGTGGGGTGTCATCTACTAGATTGGACCCTGATCGGTGTTTATTTGAAATTAAAACCACACCCTTAAATCCGAAGTTGACTGGTTCCGGTCGAGACTATTTTCTTCAGCGTCATTTTCCTCTTGGCATGAAAGACAGAATCAAACTCCCTTAAGGTAGGCAACACCCTCTCCCACAAGTTGTGAGGCAAAAACATTTTTTGCCTCACAACTTGGTTTTCCGTTTCACATTTCCCCACTTGACGGTATTTGATGGAAAAAAAAATGTTTTTGCCTCACAACTTGGTTTTCCGTTTCACATTTGTTTTAAATGGATCACAATAATTCGATTGATGCAGGAGGAACTGAAGGGTGATGGGATCCCACAAAACGAAGATACAAATCCGTAACAAAAATATTTAAAGAAAAAAAAAAAAAAAAAACACAAATCCGTAACAAAAATATTTAAAGAAAAAAATAAATAAATAAATGAAAAAAAATCGATGGACCAACAAAGTACAAAAAGCAATCCCTGGAAACCGACCCCCCCCAAAAAAAAAAAACAGGTAACAAAGTAACAGCATAACCCGAGAATATGCCAAACGAAAGAGCAAGAGTCCAAACGTGTAACCAAAATCAGCAAAAATCTCGATAAGAAAAATACTTACAAAACCGGAATCTAAACGGACGAGAGCGATGAGGAACATGAGCAAGATGGTCAAGAAAAGGTAGTACGAGCAAGGTCAATAATCCGCCAAGAACTTGGGAGCATGGCAGTCCTTAAATACTTGAACAGGCTTGATTAAAATAAGGAACAGGTGCGCCTGCTGGAGGGAAACGCCCTTCACGCCAGCTGGAGCCGCGAAACAAAAATAAAAAAGCACACACAGAACATGTCATAGCCAATAATGAAAATTCCATTTTATTTTTACATTGGGGTATTGTATTATATTTTGTGAACTTTTTTGTAAAGCGCTTTGTTACAGCCACAATATATCATCGACTATTTATTTGCGGACCACTTCAAATGTTATCGTGGGTCGAATCTGGCTCTCGGGCCTTCATTTTGACACTTGCGCATAAGATGATAAACTAGGAGGAATTTTCCACTTTGGCGGAGGTGGCGTGTCGCCTATTTTTCTGTAACGCGTGCAAATATACACGCGGGGTAAAAAGAACAAACAACATGACGACTCCCCTCTGGTTGTTTCTCAGCCTTTGAATTACACGCAGATACTAATTGACCAACAGCTCGGTGCCGAGACACAGCAGCTGGAGACAGAACCAGGCTGTTTAGGCATAATCATCACGGAAGCCGGGCCTAATCTTGCGAGCAAGACAGAAAATATACCGTCTAATAAGATGCAATAGTTTACCCTTACAAGCAAGTTGTCTTCTCAAACACACTGAATACATTTCGTCACGTAAGCACAATTAGACAATCACACGAAAAAGTATAAATATCATTAAAACATATTCCCGGCTAATTAATTTGCTCATGCGGGGGAAGGACTTGGAAAATAAAGAAGCAGGGAACGTTGCATTCAATTTTCTCTTTTGTTAATTTGCACACTCCCCACTGGGAGAGGTAAAATAACCCCCAGTCAGACTTTTCTTTTATGCTGTTAATAATAATAGAGTTGCTTTTTCAGGCAAGGCAAACGCAGTGTGCGATTTGCATAGTTGAGTGTGGAATGGAAAGGGGCCAATGCTGTATGTCCTTAAAGCTGCAGGGAGCTCCTGTGCAGTTTTGTTTTGTTGTGCTGTTACTTCTTTTTTTCTATGAATATGATAATAAGTTGTCAGAAGGATGTTCCCCCACCAGCTCGCCTTTGACAACACGCACATTCTCCAGAGGGGGTGAGATGCCCGAGCATCTCCCCTGATAGATCTGTTCCTTCCCTGCACATCTTCAAGGTGACGCTCCGCTTCAGTCCTCTTTGCCCTAAAGCGCACCCCAGTGTCACAGCCTTGAACACAAGCACCCACCTCTCAGATATTAGACACCGTCGGATTCCTAAATAGGCTTTCAAACAGCAGACAGCAACAAGAAGAAAGGAAACAACTTGACAAGCTCTGGGCTTTTGTGTGTGTGTGTGTGTGTGTGTGTGTGTGTGTGTTGTGCAAGTACGCATGTGCAATTCATGAATTGGAGTTGTCTTTGTCAGGGTGGGCAGATGTTGAGCACAACAAGTTGTAATTTCAAGAGCAATGTGTTTGGCTTAAAAGAAAACAATAAGACATGAGGTTTGTTTTAAAGTTTGATGTCTGAGTCTATCCATCCATTTTGGAAACTACTTTTCCTCGTTTGGGCCTCCGGTGAGCTGGTGCCGATTGCAGCTGACAATGGGCGAGAGGCGAGGTACAGTTGAGTGACTCATCGCAAGCCAAGGCACAGACAAAACAAGTATTCACGCCGATCAACAATTTAGAGTCAAATTTTGAGACAACAATCTTAAAACCGCGAGCCAGATGTGCTAACCACCATTCCACTGAGCTGTGTTTGTATGACTTGTTTGACTGAAAAAAAAATTATGTTGGTCGGCGTTAATCTTCAACTCCACTGCTCTGTAGATGGCAGCAATGCACATTACAAAAATGATATCCAACAGCAGTCAGCAGCAAATATCCTTGAATCAGCGAGGTCATCATCACTGAAGACACTTAAGGCTACAGAATGCAATGCAAAAAAAAAAAAAAAGACAATTATGTCCATTTGAGAGAACAAACACTCACACATCCACTCACTGTTGCGTCATAAGAGAAAAAGTCCCTTTCCTCAGGGAGACTTGCCTCCCTTTAGGTTTCATAGACATTTAACGCATCACACGGAAGTGGCCAAGACATCTCAGCCTCCTGTCGTGCATCAAATCCAATAAAGGTGAGGCAGTCAGCTGGGAATTACTCCCCCCCCACCCCCGCCTCATTCGCTATTCTCATCTGCAGCTAGTCAGAGCAAGTTCGTGTCTCAGCTGGATGTGTCCATAATTCATACGGCAAAGCTGTGCGAAGGCCCATGCATTATTCAGCACAATGGCCTCCTCCTGCAAACAGGCAAGTACAGCTCTATTAGGGCAGCGCTAAGGCTAACAGCAAACAATTAAAAGTGCATTGATTGCTTCATCAAGAGACAGAATAAACTGAACGAGCAAGGCGGTATGAAGTAGTCCGTTTTCACTGCATTGCAAATACAATCGAAAAGTTTATAACTTTGTCTTTGCTTCATTAATTTGTCATAGGCTACACTGTGTACGATATCCTATACGAGCGCAGAAACCACACTGGCGAATGACAAGCAAAAAAAAAAAAGAAGAGCAGAGCAGCCCACCAATTAAAGAGAGAGAGCTGAGATCTGGCCATTAAAGAAAAATTGAATGACAAGCAAAAAAAAAAAAGAAGAGCAAAGCAGCCCACCAATTAAAGAGAGAGAGAGCTGAGATCTGGCCATTAAAGAAAAATCTGAGTGGGAATCAACGTTACAGTGTACAGGAGCTGAGCGTTGCAATCAACAGCGAAATTCTGAGCGTAATCAACCCCATCCTAAAACGGTTTATAATTGCTTCAAGATACCACCACAAGATAATAGCAAAGCACTACTTTTCTATGAGACAGTGCGATGGCCGATTTAAATAACGCTCCTTCCCTGACACGGACATACTGTATTTCCTTGATACTAAGATGTCAGATGATGGTGCCAAAGCTATATGTTTATACAAGATAGGGCTTTGCCAAGTCAACTTTATTGTCACATATGTGCTACATGCAGCACAGATGAAATTGTCACAAATTATGAGACAGTGCAATGGCCTATTTAAATAGAGATCCTTCCCTGACACGGACATACTGTACTTCCTTGATACTAAGATGTCAGATGATGGTGCCAAAGCTATATGTTTATACAATATAGGGCTTTGTCAAGTCAAGTCAACTTTATTGTCACATGTGCTACATGCAGCACAGATGAAATTGTCACAAACACAAAAACGGTAATGGCCAGGGGCAGAACTAAATGGTGGCCAATGCTGGCTGTGGTTACTTAGCTGTTCGCTAGCAAATCAGTGCATGAGACAGAAGTTGAGATAGTACACGGAAGCGGAGTAAAAGGATTTAGTTCTTAAATTGAGATCAGCAAATTGTTTTTTTTTACTTAGATTATGAGTGCGTATATATGTGTGCATTCATGAAACCCTGACTGGGGATGGTGTGCTAAACTACAACTTGTCAGTCTTGTGCGCGATGCAGCCAAAGCAGAGTTGTGAGATTACAGGCATGCGAATGGCTGTCCCCACTATCGAGTCGTCGTGTCACCTTGGCCTGCCCACTGACTGATTTCGGTCTCTGCTCCGTGTACTTTGTCATGAGTGAGTTTTTCAACATATAAGGAGAATGGGTTACCCCACATGAAAAGAAAAAAAGTCAAAAGCTGAATTCTCAAATCAACGAATCGTAATCCCGCAAGGGGACGCTGTATAATTGAAAACGGACAAATGTGATTGAGCAGCAACCAGGCCAATGTGTACTTAGCTGCTATAGGATCCAGCTACGCCATGACCCCAATGAGAAGTGGCATAGAAAGTAAGTGCATCCTTATTGTTGTGCCGGGGGAAGCTGACAGAACGTTCCAGCTGACAAGGCTTCTCCACCCACCTGGCAAAGCACTAATATGGGAGCAGTTGTTCCTTTGTTTCTCAGAGGAGGACAGCCTCCAGGTGGCCACTCAGCCTTGTCGACTGATGTCGTGTCACCTGAAAACACAACATCACCGCGCGTTAGAGCGTCTTCGCAAACACGCCGCTGCTTTTACTACGGCAGCTTCTGTGGCCGATACTCACACACACATGAGGACTTATTAATAATGTGCTGCTGAGGAAAGGGAGCAAAAGTGATGAAACAGCTTCGCTCATATCTTCTCTACTCGAGTCCCTCCTTCCCATTGCTCGTCCTGTGGGTCCCTTGTCACCCTCTATCGCTGCTTTACACGTCTGCCGTGTCTCACGGTGACTTTATAATTGGCCCCGTGCTCATTGTTATTCAAAACCCAGGAGAAACAATTATTGGCAGACCTCGCGACCTTTACCCGCTCCGTAATGGTTGTAACTAAAGACTCTAATCGAGGCGGCTGAGAGCAAAAGGTCCGAGTTGTCTTTATGCTGATTCGTAATTCCGTCGAGGCTTGCACATGCAGACCCAAAACGGTATTACTTGAATGCCACATTTTTCTCTTTTCTTTATATTGGCTCCGGATTCATCGCTAAAAGATGTCCGACATATTTCAGAGATGTTCTCCTGCTAAATATGGTAGCTGTTTTGAAAAAGTATGAGACTACAGTATTAAAATCTAGCATCGGGCAGAAGAAACAGACTTTAGAAAAGGTCATTTGCTTTTTAAAAAAAAAAAAAAAAGCTGTTTATGGGCATTATTTAAATGCAGCAGTTCTCTGGTCATTGATTATTTTAACAAAGTTATCTGTAGTCACAGACAACCAACATCGACTTGACCAGACTTGTTTTTGAATTTTCTCCTGCATTGGAATAATCACAAATAAAACACAATGTGACAGCAACATTTATTTAAAATTCATGGCCAAGTTCGTAATATAGGTTTGGCAAATTGAGCTTTCAAGCACTGTTGTGAGCTTCTACACCTCAACGTACCTGCCGGTGCCTCAGGTCAGGTACGCTTACGAGAGGTACCAAGAACTAAGCGCAGCCTCACAGAGGATCAAGCTTTTTTTCACTGGTGGTCCTTCCTTTTGGAACAACCTTCCGTTAAACCAGGAATGTCAAACTCGTGAGAGTTCAGGGGCTACATGTTGCCTAATCAAATGGCAAGCGGGCCCGCCCAATAATATCATATCATAATTACATATAAAAAAGTACAAGTTTTCCCCCTTTGTTTTCATGCAAAGGACTACAAGTACATTGGCGAAATATAATGAAATGAAATATCCTTTGACAAAACATGTCATGAACAACCTCGGAAGTCATTTTAGAAAATCCCATACGAAATATTTGTAGGTCACAATAGAACAAAATACATTGCATAGAGCATGAAAAGAATCAGTGCTATTTCATAAATTGGGCAAAAATTCATTTCAAATTGATGTCACGTGCCCGAGTCATTAACTCCACGAATATGTCAGTGCTCTCATCAAATGCAATAGAAATTGCGGGACATGACTTGACTGTGTTTCAACTGGCTGGTCAAACCTGCCGATCGATCCAAAATCCTCTCCGCCAAAGTATTCCTCATCAGACTGATCTTGGCAGAGGCTTTCTCGATTCTTGGCACACAAGAGTTCTGCAGCTTTCTGGATGAATGTTGTAACTCCCGCACCGTCGAAATATATTGATGCTACTTCATTAAAAATCCGGTAGCTGGCTTTCCCTGCTGTGTCTCAAACCTCCATCCAGGCTGCGGGTGAAAACAGACTGCTATTTCTTCAGACCCACCACCAATTCCTTTATCCACACTCTTTTCAGGTGTCCCGACAAGCAATCATATTTTGGGGCATGATGAGTTTCATAATGGCGCTGCACATTATATTTTTTTCAGCACTTGTTGGATTACACCTCAAGCACACGGGCTTCCCTTTCACCTCTGTGAATAACCAGGAAGCAGTTTCTCTTTTTTTCTTGGAGAAAACTGCACCCACCTTTTGTTTCTTTTATGACAGAACCAATTTGGCAATAAGCGTCGACTACACGGTACTTGGGAGAAGGCGCGCTGCTCTCTCTCCCCATCGTCTTAAAACAAATTTGTATTCTTTCGACTCTGCATGAGACTCATTGTTTTGGTCTTTTATTGGGTTTCTGTTTTTATGTTCATAATGGATTACTTTAACAGTCCTTGTTTTGATGTCAGATTTTTACTTTATGTATTGCGGTATGTATGCAGCTGTGGTTGCTTTAAAATGCTCCATTAATAAAGTTGGGTTGAATTGGTTGTATACTTGAATCCCAGTGCAAAAGTACATCTATCTCCCGTGTTGAAGTTGGATTCATTTTCGACGCAACTATTTCATTTTGACTGTATAAATTCAACAGCGCAATGATTTTATGAGCCGACAGTGAAGCAAACTGGATGCTGACGTGTAGTCATGAAAAAGCAACTCTCTTTGTAATCTTATAGAGAGAAGCTGAAGGTGATAAAAAGACATACGGCAGTACAATTTCCAAGAGGAAGAATAAAAATGATCACGTGTTAAACTCAAGGCCCAAGGGCCGGAAACGGCCCACCAAATCCTTTGAAGTGGACCGCGAAAGCAAACCGTGCGTCAAATTCCGTAAATCCATGCTATAATCTGTACCAAATTGTCATGCGTAGCCGATAACGTTATGATTTTGCAACATTTTTTGTTACTCTTGACAGTAACTTGAACAACACTTGAAAAAAAACTAGTATCCATGACCTTTGATGTCAAAGCTAGTAATCCAGTGGTTTGTTGCGTCTATTGAATAATATGATGAGGTGACTAAACAATCTGGTTTCTTAGTCATAACCGCAAGTGACTACATTGTGGCCCGGCACAAAAATGAGTTTGACAGCCTTGCTGTACACACAGCACAGTGCAAAAGTCTGAGGCCACCATGTGTTTATTCACAAGCTCCCTTGTTCGTGGGAAAAATGATGATTCAAGGGGATGATCTGCGGGACATCCATTTTTTTTTTTGCCATCGAATGACTCAAAGTGTGAGACACCTTTAGTCAGAGCCTCAACAAAGCTACAGAACTTTCACAACCACAGAGCGATGTCGACGTACGCCCTGTCCGGACAACAGGCTTGTGCTCCCAACAAATAGAAAGCATACCGTGCAGAGACCCTGTCAACAATGAGTCGCAACTGGAGTTCTAGTTTACCTACACCAATGAATGCTGACAAATGTCACCATGCTGTCCTCGAGCACAACAAATAAACTCTGTCTTAGGCGGATGTCAACTGTGTAGCAACTGACAACACTCTCGACGCCGTTTGACATGCAGACACAAAGCCTCAGGACGTCCTTATGAATATCCCAACACAGCCACGTGGTGATGACTCACTGAGGCAATCCAAGAGAGGCAACGACTTGGATGACAGCAAAAGTAGCGGAAAGCAGATCACTTGCCCCTTTTCTGGTTGGCTGACGTAAAGTAAGTGCCCGCACATCTGTAAATTGGGTTGTGGGGACACACGGAATGACAGCAGAATTATGTGATATTATCTGGCACGACATGGCGGAGGCGGGTGCAAAAATGGATGCTTCCTCCATCAAAACCAAAGACCAGTGGATTACAGTCAGGTCCATAAATATTGCGGCACAGCAAAACAAAAGGATTTGAAATGAGATGACCAAAATGTGCTTTTGACTTTCATTTGAAAGCATTTACATCCAAATCATATGAACGGTGTAGAATTACAATAATTTCTGTACGTACCGCCTACTTTTTAGGGTACCAAAATTACAAATCGTATATAAATGAACAATCAGAAATCAAAGTTTCACGTTTTAATACTTTAAGACTTCTGGGATGCATAAACTTAACCAGATGATAGATTTAATCTTTTGTAACACTGCCAGGCCTCTAGTGTAGCCGTCTCCCGTTACTGCTTGGTCTTAGGTAATTTTTTTTCCCCTTCAAGCGAAAGGCGTGGTCAATCGGATTCAGGTCTGACTGACTTGAAAATTGCATTTCTTTTTCCTTTAAAAAAAAAAAAAAAAAAAACACTGCTTGCTTTCGCTTTGAGCTTCGGATCATTGTCCATCTGCATTGAGAGTTCCGAAAGTGAGCTCATTGCCCAAAACACTTCAGAACTCATCCTACTTCCTTTGTCAGCAGTCACATCATCAATGTATACAAGGCAAAAAGTTGCAGTGGCAGCTGTGGCATGGCTCCCTGTACATGGAACAGCCAAGCAGCCAAATGGCAAAGTCACCACTTTTGGTCCCTTAAAAAGTGAAAAGACCATAAAAGTACAAAAATTTACGGAAGAGGAAAGCTTACCCTCAGCAGCAGTTCTCATCTTTACAGTGATACAGCAATGAAGCGTTGCTTTGTTTAAGACTATCAATGTATCATACAAAATAAAATGACAGTAAAACAAAGGGAGCACACGGAGCATAATGAAGCCTGCATACATCAACATATACTTGATGTTACCCGGCGACATATTAGAGGAGCACAAAATATAAAAGCCTGGAAATGGTATCCAACTTAATGACTTTCACACTGCAAGTATGTCATGCATCTGCTACTCTTCATAGATCCCACATGAGCCAATGATGCTGTCCGAGGACCTTCCAGCGCATCAGCAACTTTCATGAGTCCTTCTGCGGTGCGCCATAAAAAGTTATGGACAAACTCTAAAAACCTTTCTGCCCTTGAATATTTAGGGATGCCTGCGATTTTCTGGCGTGACATTTTCTGTCGAGAGTGCCACAACAACATCATTTCTCTTCCATAGGGGCCATTGTTAGGGTTCGTATGTGACTCCAAGCGCACGACAACAGATAGTGATGGCGTTAGCCAAAACTTGGCGTAATTTATTAGCTTTGCAAAGTAAACTCAGGAGAATTCAAACTGAAACTTACTTAACATTCAAGGGGGAGCACAAAGAATCCTCGGAGAGGGGGAAATGTCCACAGAGGAAGCGAAAACTTCACTTGGTGTCTACACGTGCTTGCTGCAGGTGGTTATTACACAAACTTGCACTGAGTACTGGTTTGGGAGCCAATTTATACCAGCCCAAACTTGCTGATGAGCTACAGGTGGGTGATGAGCCTCAGATGTGTGGTACAGAGCACCCTGGTTGAGGAGGCTGCCTGGCTGGCCCCGCCCTTAACAGCCCTGCTACATTATAGTTCGAATTAGCTTGAGCACAGAGACAAGAATTTAAGAAATGAGAAATACTGCAACAAAATAAAAATGATTCAACATGAGTTTTTTTTTAATTCCGTTTCTTTTGAAAACATAGAGACAACAAGAGGCATGAGCACACCTCACGAGACTAAAAATATTAACTACAAAAAAACCCACACGTGTAGTGAAAACCAAAATTCAAATGCTGAACCTCAAAATGGAAATAGGTACTGTATACAGTATCAAGATATTCAATAATCTAAATAAATAACATACTTTGAAAAATTGCAATATATAATTGAGCATGTATTGGGGGGTTTAGTTTGATGTGTGCTGCCGTATTGCAATTGTATGAAAGGTCAGTTTTGTTTTTTTGTTTTTTTGCATGTGGTGTCCTGATAGGAGGCCACACCTTCCACTTCTTATTGTAATCAAGCCACTGTGAGGGCACAAGAGAGGCCATTACACTGTCATCTCGTGTGTAATTCATGTAAGAGCACATCATTCTGTAGCGTGAGAGGGCCACTCGTATTGAGAGTTGAATTCCTGTTCATGGAGAGCTGTTATAGAGCTTTTTTTTTTTTAAATGAACTTGTGATTTGCAGTCTATATAGTGAGGGTGAAAGACGCAAGTGGTTCATGAATATTTAGTAGGAAAGTGGATGAAAAGACAAAAACTGTATGTTGACAATACTTCAAACTTCACACTGCAAATATGCTGCTATCTTTAATATTATTATTTTGCATTCCTTTCTTATTTCCCTTCAAATAGCAGTAGCAGGCTGTAAAGGGTTTATCAGCAGGTGGTGCGACGGGCAATAATAATAACCCGCTCCACTAAGCGTGTGGTTTCCGCTGACAAATGTGCTTGCAGCCTGCAACGACCCGCTGTTTTGGAATTCTGGCCCATTTTGATATTAAATTTGTGAGATTAACATCAGTTTTGCTACAGTATGAGAGTGTGATTATCCTTGTTGGCGTCGTGTGACACAATTTCCCCCCTTTTGACTGTCAGTTGTGATGACTGAACATAAATCGTTTCAGAACTAAGTTCACTGCTTTTAAAACAATGAAACGCTCAGTCTTTAAACATGAATGACAAAGGCCTGATGTGGTGAGTCAGGAAACAGTGTCTCATTTTTTTTTCTCAACATGCTAAATGAGTACATAATTATCAATAAAACACTCTCCATTAAAGTGATGACATGTATATTGTGGCATTGTACTATACAATGTTCAGCCCCACCCTAAAGAGTTGTTGAAGCCCCATAATGTTAGTTTTAAACTATAGTCTGTGTTCCTTAAATGGTCCCCAACATTTTTCGTGTCACGGACGGTTGAGACAAGTCCATGCTGTTCGAGGACCGGCAACCATTTTTTTTTTCATTGCTTTTAAATTGCCAGTTTTCAAGCACTGCTACTGACAACAAAGATAATTCTAGACTAATTCAACATTTTATGAACATTCATTCATTTCAAACAGTGTTGTTGTACTCCACAACAAATGTAGAATAAAATAAAATAACAGTGGACTACCGAGAAATGGGGCCAATTAGGAATAATAAATACTGTACGCCTTATTATGTAAACATAATAATACTGAAGTTATGATCCCACATACGGCGTTAGCATCATTGCTACTTGTAAATGGCACACGATTGATTGCTGCTTACATCCGGTGGCTGCCGGCTCATTATTAGCGACTAAACTGCTAATGTTTACGTGGGCAGGCTGTGCAAACTCTGCTTGCTTTTTTTCATGCTTTCCACTTGATCACTTGGGTGCTACTTGTTCAAATGGTTCAAAAGGTTTCTTGTATCGCCTTGTGTTTGACGACATACCATGCACAACAGCTCCCATTCGTCCACGTCGCACCGGAGATCGCGCCAGGGGAGGAACTTCTCTTGTCAAAACAGCTTCAACTTCGAAAGTCGCGGCTGCCCATCGGATGCGCATTTCGATGTACTTTTGGTCAGTTTGTTACGACAGTATTACTTTCTGTTGACTGCTTCTTCTTTCTTTTATTGGCGGTTTCTGTTCATTTCAACTTTCCAACCAACGATAAAAGGAAGACTCCGTCGCACACATTTCGCACGTCACGTCTGATGGGGTAAATTTGTTCACAGCTCGCAGGTCTGTCTCAAACGGGCCAAGGCCCAGTACCGGTCCACAGCCCCGTGGTTGCGGACCACTGTCTTAAATCACTCCAAATTATCATGCGTAGTTCAGTAGATTTGTTGAAATTGTATCTCGCACAAAGATCACAACCGTTAACGGAAATGCTTGAATGATGAAACATAATTAGGGAGGAAAAAAAACTAGATGCAGTCCCTATTTAATTCATGTGGTGAAAAAAGTCACAAAGTTCCATATCTAATTACTGAAGTTTTTGTTAACCTAACTTTCCAATAAAACAATATGGCGAACACAAGTCACAGAACAACAAACACAAAATAAAAGGCGTTCCTGAGGAATCTAGCTCTGACTCTCCTATTTTCAGCACAAAGATACAGAAAAGATCAAACAGTGCAGAGTTTATTAGGACCCGGAGTATCTCTGCTAACAACCACGCCATAAATAATGTAAAGCTTTTATCTGTCTGCAGCCTCACCAACATAGCAAAACAAGTTGGCTGGGATTTGTTTGTCTGTGAAACACAAGTGTTTACATGCAACGAGAGAAACAAAACGAATTTGTTAAAGTATGAGGAAAATTTAAATTTGAAGCATAAAAAAAAAAGAATCCCCCTGTGCTCTTAAAGCTATGAACAGTTTTGAACGTGACGTACTTGTCATTCTGTAAGGACTTCATTAACTACTGATGCTTCCAGAACGCAGCGGATGATTAGCTGAGGTTGCTCAGTGATCACAGCATTTGCAGATTTCTAATGCTGCACTCTAAACATGAAAAGCCAAGCATTTGAGAGATATAGGCTGGGGGGTTGTGGGGGCTTGACGACAGAGGTGAAAAGAGAGCACTAATCTAATTAAGATCTTGAACACTCAATTAGCCTTGAGCAGGAGAAACAAATGGCAAATACATTATTTAATTACAACAACCGGTTTAACAGCTGGAAGAGGGAGCAGTGTGTGTGTGTGTGTGTGTGTGTGTGTGTGTGTGTGTGTGTGTGTGTGTTTGAAAGAGTAACAGTGAGGGATCGGAGGGGCAGGAGTTCAGTGATGAATGTGCCCGCACTGAGCCTTGACTGCGTTTATGAGCGTGAAAGTGCATGAGTGCAATGGAGCGGCAGCCTGGTTTATCCATCCGCAAGGCCCCCACATGGTCGGGCCTGGAATCAAATAATTTTTTTTCTCATGAGAGCCATGTTCAGAATGAGGTCACTACTTTTTTTTTTCCTGAGAAGCAAAAGAAGTGGTTTAGGATGTCTCACCAAAAAGCAGCCTGACTGAGGATTTCTCTGAAAGTTGGCAGGGCTGAGAGACAAAAATCGATTGTTCTCAAGACTTCAACTTACTTGAGAGGTTCTCATTTTTTAAACTAAAATTATAATGCAGACTAATGATGAGTGGTAGAGACGTGCATTCAATATAAGGTATGAATTTGCCCAAAGGTAGAAATTTGGACCCAATCATAGTAATTGATTATTGTCTTTGTATCTTCTTTCTGTGCGCACTGCTTAGTATGACAGAATGGCCTCAAGTGTATGCCCACATCACTTTACTGTTTTCCCCTCTTCTTATTGGAGAATGCTTGTTGCACAATATTTTGAAGCCACCACACTCATGAGCGGCGCCCAGTGCTCCTTCAGGAATTGGACCAGGCATTTTTTTTAAATATGCCTTTTCTTCTTTACCCCCCTGGGAATTTTCTGGGGTGATATATATATATTTTTTTATTAATAATTATGATTACAAAATGATGCATTGCTGAGATGGACTGCAAGCTAACTAACTCTAACCTAAGGTATGTTCGGAAATGTCTGTGCACTACTTTGAGAGTGCGGTCTGCTCTCCGTAATTTCTGAAAGGAGCCCGCACTGGCACACCATTTCCCCATTCAAAGCACCTAGTGCCGCACACCTTTTTTGGTGCACTCTTTATCGACCAAACGACAAATTTGAGGAACACTCAAAGTTTCTCAACGGTCACAATGAACTCCTACACACTTGGAAATTCTTACCGAACACACCGCTAATGCGCAAGTAACAGAGACTCAACCCTTCCCTGCCTGCCCTCAAAAACAGACACAGGGAATAGCTACAACACAAGCACGGTAACATGCTTCATATTGGAACAGAATGGCTACTTACTTGTGAACTTAAATGACTTTTTAAAAATTAATTTAAATACAGTATATAAATAAATACATTGCTTGGGCTGAAGGGAGGCCATACAGATTTCTGATCGGGCTATAGGCCCGCCTAGCCTTGGTGTAGTGATGTGTGTGCACTTTTGTTCAACTAGTGCACTAAATTCTCTTACATGTGAAGACAAAGACCATACTAGAATGGGTACATGGACCATGAGTTTCCTTTTTTTTTTTTTGTAACACACTCAGCAGGTTACAATAACTTATTTAAATTGGGGCGTAAATAACTCTTATTTTCAGTTCTCTTCCACCTAAAAACTCTTAACAATCTAGATTTTATGATTTTAATTTCAATTGTCTGCATTAAACCAACTATTTGATTGATCCATGTGATCAATTTCCACGTGAATAAGTGCAACACAGTACTATGAGGCTGCAGTCCATTCATGATTGCTGAACTTGTCCAAATCAAGACGAAATAGATGGGCACATGCTGCCCTCTGTTGGAAAGATAGTTGACACAGCTGATTAAGCCCAATAATAGTTATGGTTATACTACACACACACACACACATTATTATTATTATTATTATTGTTATTATCATTAATCATTAGTAGTAGTAGTAATAGTAGTATTTGCTGTTGTC